CCCCCGCCCGCCCCCGCCCACCCCGGCCCTCCCCGGCTGCTGCTCCCCGGCGGAGGCAAGAGGTGGTTGGGGGGACCATGGCTGACGTTTTCCCGGCCAACGACTCCACGACGTCTCAGGACGTGGCCAACCGCTTCGCCCGCAAAGGGGCGCTGAGGCAGAAGAACGTGCACGAGGTGAAGGACCACAAATTCATCGCCCGCTTCTTCAAGCAGCCCACCTTCTGCAGCCACTGCACCGACTTCATCTGGTAGGTGCGCGCGGGGCCGGGCGCTCGGACGGCACTCCCGGGCTCCTCTCCCGGCGTCTGGGGCTGGGCACCAGCTTTTCCCTAGTCCCGAGTCCAGTCTCGCTGCTGACCCGCGTTCGGGGGCCCCAAGTCCAGGCGTGTCCACTCCGGGGCTGACTTGCTAGGAGAACTTGGAGCCGGAGGGAGTCCGAACTCTCGCCCGCATGACACGCGCGCGCTCGGCCGCCTGGGCCACTGACACACACGCGGGCAGGACTCCCAGGGAAGTCGCCGCCCCGCCACACACCCCCGGCCGCGGGAGGGAGGTCGGCTCAGCGCCGTGGTGACCTGGATCCCCTCCACCGGCCCGGGGCCCTCGCCTCCCGGGCGCACACGCCCTCTTGTAGACAGCGGAGCAGTAGATTGCTGGGGTTTCGGCAAAGAGGAAAGGAAAAGAGAATCCAGAAGGGCAGAGTTTCCCGGAGAAACACGCCCAGGACTAATAGGGGAGCGGTGGTGGCTGCGCGGCGCGCGGTCCAAGTTGTTGGCGAGCCAGGCTGGGCGCGTGTAAGGTGTGTGTGTTTGAGCTTCCATCGGGCTGGGGCTCCCCTGGAACCTTGGCTCCCCGCCTACTGTAGGCTGTATCTACTGGGCACCGAGAGACTTTGACTTTCCTGGGTGAGAGGAGAGAGAGAGGGAGAGACAGAGAGAGAAGGCTACAAACTGTTGAAAGCTCGCGGTGGGGGAGGAGGGATTAAGACTGGGCAGGCAAATGGCAGAAGGACAGGAGGGAGTCATTTAAAATAGTCCCTGTCAACACGAGCCTAGACCCGTAACCCTGTTGATGAGGACAGCGGCCTTATTTAAGAAAAATACTGTACTGGCTAGAGGTGTCCAATGTCAGGTAATTTTCAATGAACGCAGGCATTCTTCATGGGGGGGGTCTAGGGTTTGTGACGAATTGATAAATTGGAGGGGCTTTGGGGGTCTCTGAGCTCTACTAGGTAGGAGTTTTTTTTTGTTTGTTTTCCTGGTGAGAGAATTCTAGTTTTCATCTGATTTTTGGCGGGATCAGAGACCCTATCCCTCCGACTGTCCTCCTCCCCCCCCCCCAAAAAAAAGTTTAGAAAGCTGGAACTCCACGTCCTCCAGTTTGAGTAGCAGGAGTTTTGTTTTTCTCCCACCTCTTGTTTGTGGGTGTGAGAAAGTCCTTATAAGCCAGAGCTGTGGCCAGGGTTCCTCAGCTCCCTGGTTTCTTTGGCTGGGATGGTGAGCAGGATGGCAGTGCCCAAGAGTGCATCCTGCCTCCTCCAGCCAGATATGGGGCACCTATTTCTGGGCACACTAGGGTAATCATCGTATGGATGGCTCTGTCTGAATCCACATCTGGGGAAAAACATCTCAAAGGGCAAGTCCCACAGAGGTGGTGCTAATCCAGTGTTTAATTTTTCCTTCCCTTTTCACACATCCTTCCCCACATACTCCTAATAGCACAGCCACCTCTGAATAATATCCCCCGTGTAGTCAGCATACGAAGCAATTGTGCCCAAAGGACTAGGTACTCTTAGATAAGGCGGCTATTTGAAATAAGTTTTTGGAGCATCAGGGCAAAGAGAGGATATTGCATTTGGTTAATAGAGGAGGTCTGAAACATCCATTATCAGCTATAAGATTCCATTAAAAGGGAACAGACTGCTGATTACTTTTGCAGGAAGTAGGTGAGTTTGGAAAGGCCTTTGCAGCATGTCCAGGCTAACTAATGTCTTTCCACTATCAGTTGCTCTGCAGCGTCAGGCCATGGTGAGCCGATGAGGCACTCAGGTCACCAGGGGTATTGTGAAGTGGAAAATAAAGGTCTCCCTCTCCCTGCTCCCTGAGTATCCCTGCAGCCTTTCCCCCACTTAATTGTAAAGCAACCACTTGGAAGTCCCAGGAAACATCCATCAGGGTTGTCTTGCAGTAGCTTTAATTTTCCACTCTTTTATTATTGCTTCTCTGGGATCTCTGTGTACAAACGTATTTTAGTATTAAAGCAGTGACATTTTAAAGCTAATGTCTGGATTTAAGTATGGTTATTTTGGGGGGATAACTAAGTTAATTATAAAGATATGTAAAATACTTTGTAAATTTAAAGTGCTATGTAAAGTGAGAGATTATGACTCTCAACCTTCTGAGAAAATTTTAATGCAGTTCATTCTAGTGGAATAATATTTGCACTTGAATGTCCACGTCAGGGTTCTCTGATTACAGAGTAAATTCTCTAAAGTCAGTTACAAGAACAAAATAGCCTCTGTATGTGCTTTGAACTCTATTGGTTCTCAATAAAAGTTAGATCATCATAATCTCAAATGCAAACAGTTGGAATGATATTTTGTAAAATCTAGTTCCTTCCTTAAGCCAAGATTAAATGTTAAGAGTGGTGCTGTTTGGCAATTTCTAGATACATAGTATGTATTTTAAACAAACTCATACAAATAAGCCACGTTTCTGTAGGCTTCAGGTGGTCTTTAGGAACAAAATAAGCCACTTCCTTTTTTATTTTTAAACAGAAATTCTTTTTTGTTACTTGAATATCATAGCTAACAGCTTTGATTATAAAATCAAATCCATAACATCGTGAGGAAAAAAATTAAAGAGGCTTGATATATTGAAATATTTCAGTGATTTTTTTTCAATAGGCAAAATACATTTTTCCCAAGTTGAATTTACACTGTAATCTGACTATATAGGTATGCTTTTCCAATTAAATCATTGGATTTTATGTATAAAACTTTAACTCTGTACTTTGTCACATAACTTGCTTGAAACATGATGTCCAAAACAAGATATGTTAAGATATTTGTTCTTGTTTCTGTTTTTCAGGGGGTTTGGGAAACAAGGCTTCCAGTGCCAAGGTAAGCTGCCACATTGGATTTTATTTTTAAGTACAGTATGAACTGAGCATTCCAGACAGGAAGAGCATTGCTAGTCATCTTTTCTTTGTGGTCCAAAAAATATTTAGATCATCTTTTCAAAATATGAGGGCTATAAAATTGGGCCTTAAAAAAAAAAAAATCATATGGTGGTGCTTACTCATTTGCATATAGAGCTGCCTTTCTCTCATTGGAAAAAAAAGAAAAAGAAAAAAACAACTTTCCTGTAATTTTATTTTTTGCCGAGAACGTTCTTGTCAGAGACTGCTATCTTCGTGTGGGTGTTGAGAAAAAAGTGGAATCACTTCGTATTCGTGTGGCTTTTCTTTCTCCTTCCTTTGTTTTTGTTAATCTCTCTTACCTACGTATTGGGCTGGACTCATTGCATCTGATTTTAGGCCACACTTCACTCTAGTAAATTGTTTTTGTCTTGTGTAGATTACCGATAGCCATCTGTAACAAAGTTTGTTTTTGAAGTTACGTTGATTCGATAAGTGCTGATGGTTACAGTATGACAAGTGGCACACTTTCCCTTTAGCCTTGATATCTGACAACACTTGGGCCACGAGGTATTGCTTCTGGAAAGTTCCAGAATTCCATTTGTTTCCTTCTCTGTCTGTAGTTGCATTTCATACCATTACATATCTAACTTTTCATACTCTCTGTTCTATTCCTTAAAGGTTTTTGGTTAACATTTTTAGCTTGTGAAGGCATTACAGGTTCATTAGCTCACTTTTCATGCTCTCCCACTCATCATCTATATCGTGTTTATTTAGTTCTGGTTACATTTCCCATCTGGGCATAGGTTTATTATTAGGGTAAGTGGAAAGTACATTCTAGCCTGGAAAATATTATCCTTACACTGTTTAATATTATTTGCATTAGAGAGAAAGACACTGTGTGTAGTTTTTTATGCCTTTGAAATTGTGCTAGTAAGTTGGGCATCTTTAAACAACTACTTTAAATTTGTGAACACGTTTCTTATCTACATTTTTAAAATATATTTCAGATGGGGGTATTTTATGATAAGATTGTTCATTAATATTCTACCATTTTTACCTTAAGCTGTGCTTAAAACCCTTATTGAATAAATTACTTTGATATTTATGTTTGGAAATCAAGGGCTATTCCTTTTAAAAAGAGAATAAAGAGAAAGGCCAGTTGCACCAAAAGAAGAAAGATGTAGCTCTGTGCAGTTCTTGAGGTTGTGGGCCTGAACTTTATAGGTGAGATTTGGGTCTAAGCTTAAACACAGTGTAAGGGAATTTAACAATGTAAGATTCTGGGCCAGTGTGATTGACATCTACTCTTAATTTTGTTATTGTTTTTGATTTGAATGGGAACCTGTGAAAGCTTACAAGAAAAATTATTTACTGTATTGTCTCTGTAACTTGTGTCCAGGAGAAAGTGAGTATATTATTTTAAAACTATCATTTCCTGCACAGAAATATTTCAGAATAGGACCAATCCCTCATCTCAGCAGGCTTTGTTGGAGTAATCATAGAGTGGCCATATTACTAAGCGACAAGGGAATTCTAGCTGGTTTTTCCCAAAGAGCATCTCTTGAATTTTTAGTGGATTAGCAGATGAAGAGTCTGAAATCAGCAAAACTCGCTTTTACCTAATCTATAAAAGTGAAACTCATAACAAAATTTAAATTATATAAAATAAAAAGTGTAATTGTATACCCTCAGATCTTTTAAGTAATGAATTACACTAGTACATTTGCAAATTTTAGTTTGCAGAAACCTTTTCAAGTAGCATACATTTTTTTATAACATGCGTCTGCTTGTTACATTTTGTTTCATACCTATCATCTGTGTTTGACTTCTGGTAGGCAAATGCTAATCCCTTATATCTTACTGTTTGTTGTAACTTAATCAAGAAGGATATATTAGCTCAGGACAATGCTTTTTTTTTTTTTTTTTTTTTTTTTGAGACAGAGCCTCAAGCTTTCCCCCTGGGTAGAGTGCCGTGGCATCACAGCTAACAGCAACCTCCAACTCCTGGGCTCAAGCGAGTCTCCTGCCTCCGCCTCCCAAGCAGCTGGGACCACAGGCGCCCGCCACAACGCCCGGCCATCTTTTGGTTGCAGCCGTCACTGTTGTTTGGCGGGTCCGGGCTGGGGATCCGAACCCGCCACCCTAGGCGCACGTGGCTGGCGCCCTAGCCGGTTGAGCCACAGGCGCCGAGCCAGGACAATGCTTTTAATCCCACAAAGAGTTACCCAGTGTTTCTGATTTTGGTTCTTTCCTTAAAACTTACCTTTCTCTTAACATCTGACTATTTTAGAATATTTTCGTTTTGTCTTCTCTAACTTTGTTTTTTGTCTTGGTTCTGTTCGATAGTGTCATTCAGGAGAATAACTCATTCTCATCTGTGCCTTTGGCAGCGTCTCTGGAAATGACGGCTGGAATTTGAAACTGTTTTTTGTATTCTTCATACATCAGAGTTTTCTCCACTGATGGAGCAGTGTTTTCTAGCTCCTAGTGTCTCATGTATTGCTTTGGTCAGTAGATAAAGAAAAATGTGCTTGCTGTCGATTTTATTTCTTTTCTCAAACTACAGGTGCGTATGCTCCAAATGAGAGTCCCTTATTTATGCAGTTGGTAACATAGCTTTAGATCAAAAATGTTATCATTTTAGAAGTGTTAAGTAGGTATTAGAAGACTAAGGAAATAAGTGAGTTTTAATCCTTAAGACTGGGTTTGAAATCTGTATATTTTACAGATGTGTGAGATGCTAAGATTATTTCTCTCTTCCCTCTTTCCCCAAGATACAACATGAAAGCAGGAAACATTTCTTTGTTTGTAGAGCTATTTATTGGGTTATTCCCACTTCCTCTTCGCACACCTTATGCCTTTCTTATTTATATTGCAGTATAGGTGTACAGCCCTGAAAACTGGTATCACCAGTTCAAGGAAGGCAGGGGGATCCTGCGTTAAGAATTTGCTGTCTATGGCCCGTAGCACAGTGGTTATGGTGCCAGCCACATACACCGAGGGTGGGGGTTCAAACCCAGCCTGGGCCAGCTAAACAACAATGACAACCGCAACAAAAAATAGCCAGGCATTGTGGCAGGCGCCTGTAGTCCTAGCTACTTGGGAGGCTGAGGCAAGAGAGTCGCTTAAACTCAAGAGTTTGAGGTTGCTGTGAGCTGTGACACCACAGCACTCTACTGAGGGCAACAAAGTGAGACTCTGTCTCAAAAAAGAAAAAAAAAAGAATTTGCTGTCTGAATTGATGAAACCAAGGGTCTTAATTGCTGAGGAGAAGGATAGACAAGCTTGGGCCCTCGCAGCTCTGGAGTGACTCCTGAGATGTGACTTGGGTTTACCATCTGGTTTTCTGCTTCATGTTCTTTCTCGCTCGGGTACTCAGTATTCGTTTCATCTCTGTGAGATGAAGTCCTTGCCCACGTTTGTCTGTTGGTTTTGTTTTCGGAGAAAGAAGAAAGGGGAGTAGATTTGTGTGGCTCAGACGCCGCCGAGGGAATGGTTTCCGATCTGGAAGGCCTCCTTCCATGTGCTCCTTTCTGTCTTGCGCTGGCTGCTTCCAAAAGCATCGCAGCACAGCGAGATGCACTGTGCTTCTCATGAGCTCCCCTCTCTGGGCCAAGGGAGCTGAAACAGTGTTATCTGCTGCTGTCACTGCTGGAAAAGGGAATGAGCCAACTCGATTTTTTTTTCCCCGCCTTAGACTGAGCAACACCCGGCTCGTCTCTAGTTACAGGGGTAGAAACAGCCTCTCAAAATGCGACCTGCTTATCTCAAGTGCCTAACAGTATGTTACCTATGGCCATCCTCCACTTGTTTTTCCTGGTTTTTCTTCTTTCTCTTTTGTTTAACATTGCAAAATAAAATGTACTACTAATCCAGGCTCTTTTTGTAAGATACCCCTAAAGAGACAGCATGAAAGTTAAGCCCTGACCATCCCCATCATCAGTAGGAGCCTGTTGGCTTTGAATGAACATCAGTGGATTTGGAGGCATCTGCAGGGAGTGAATTTTTTTTTTTTTTTTTTTTTTT